GAGGGTTTGTGCAGCGCTCCCCGCCTGCCTCAGGACGGTGAGGGCAGCCTCTTGGCTCCGCGACGGCACCCGGCACCAGCCAGGAACGCTGCGGCTCTCCCCACGCCAAGTGAATCAGCTGCAAGGAGGATGGGCGCGCATAGCAAGTAAGAAACTCAGCAGGGTACCGGCTTCCCATCCAGAAGACTTTTTAAATGGAATAAAAAATTGTTGGGTTTTTTTTTTTCCTGGATGTGAGGGAGGAGATCTCTAGTGCCCGTGTGCTTCAGATCCAGTCCTACGCATTCACAACTGCTGCGTGGGATCTCTATTTTGGGGATCAGTTTCTGGAAACTGGATCCAAAACTTAGCCAGAGCTGTCAGTAAAGGATTTTTATTGCTCTAGTAAATGAGGATCCAGGTGTTTTGAGGCCCAGGGAGTTGTCGTGCTTGCCTGCTGCTAGTCTGATAGGAGAATTGGGAGGGGAGGAGGACAACTAAAAGTAATAACCCCCCCCAACCAGCAGGATGACAAGGTAGGCGTAACAATATACAACATCGTACTTACAAACGATACACAACAGGTTACTGCTCTCTCCATAATACACTTTTTTTCTGTAACAAGCGACAGGCTGCGGCACCTGGCTCACCCTTCGCACAGAGACAGGAATAGCTGCTGCTGTGCAGATTGCGGGGAGGTTCTGAAGCAGTGAGGAACGACATGAGTTTTGGCTATGAGAGCTGGCAAAGGCCCCCGAGATCTTTAATTCTCCTGCCCTTGAGTTTTAAGACTTTTTGCACAAAGAATTTCATTCCTGCAGCATCAGGGAAAACGCCTCTGAGGTACCGTTTCCACTCTTTGCCGCAGCCGCATTGTCCTTGGAGGCTGCCTTTCCGGGCGCAGCCCGGCCCAGCGCTGTTCAACGTGAAGGTCACACCTGGAGGCTGTCTGGATTCCAGTTCACAGGCAGAAGAGACAGACCCCATTCACCAAGCCCACCACAAGAGACCGGTGGCACTGGAAATGCCCCAGACGCCCCAATTCCTGCCTGTCCGCCCCTGCCCACAGCCCAGGTCCCAGAGCTCTTACTGTTCTGGCAGATCCAGGGGTTCTTCTCCCTGGCTGTGACTTCACGGGCCTCCATCTCCTCCTCTTCCTCGCCCTCTGAGAGCAGGTCAGAGATCTGCTGCTGCAGCTCGGGACTAATGTTGTTCTCTGCCAGGATGAGCGTCCGCAGGGCCGTGGGGTAATTCTCTACCATGTCCAGCAAGGTCTGGGTGGAGAGCGAGATAAACAGGCTGACAAACAGCAGAAAAAGCTTCAAGGCTCTTGTCTCCCTGCAACCTCCAGCCCTCCTTACCTCTGCCTTCCCTTGGCCTTGGCCTCCCTTTGCCAGGCTTTCTGAGAGCCTGAGGACTTCCCATCTTTCCGTGGGAAGAGCTCAGCCTGGATTTCCTGGCTCTAGCTAAAAAGGAAGGGACTGCTCTACACCCTGTGGCTGCCACCCACCCAAGCTTGTCCCCTCTTACCCCTGGGAGCCGAGGCTCCGAGAGGCAAGCCTGTGCTACCAAGCCTTGGCCCCTGCCTGCCCACAGGGCTTTAGTTCCGATCCGCAGTCACAAGCCCAGCCCCTCACTTCTTCCAACAAGACCCGACTGCAAACCGAGCTGCGTGTTCCTCCCTGCGGAGTGGGGGGAGATCCGGGAGCCCTCGCTCAGAGCTGCGGCTTACGAGCTCCTCCCGGGGCCGAAGGCAAGGGGCCGGGGGAAAGCACCAGCACCCCTGGGCGCAGGGAGGGAAGGGGACTCAGGGAGGGGGACGGGGGCATGTACAGGTCCTAGGCCCTCTGCAGACAGCCAAGACCTGTGCCCTTGAGACGTCAGGGGTGCTGCAGGCTCTCATACCTGGGCTGACTGGTTGGTAAGGCCTGTGCCTTCCAAGTCCAGAACTTCAAGGGTTCGACTGGAGGCCACGGCAACAGCGAGCATCCCTGCTACCTGGTCACCTGTGGGAGAAACAACCCGGGCTGTCAGCAGTGCCTGCCTTCCCTCGTGTAATGCTACGTGCCCTCGTGGGCCCTCGGGGCTGTCACGGAAACACCCTCTGAGTATTTCTGCTGTCAGACAGCCTCCAAATCCCAGTTACCTTGGGGGGAAAAAAAAAAAGCAGCTGTTAACTGAGAAGAGAGTCAAGGCAAAGGTGCAGCATTTTGTGATTAGGGGAGCAGTCACTGGTTACCAGGAGAACACAAAGGAACACAGTGAAATTGTTTTTATTTCCCAAGGAACCACATCTTTCCAAAGCTCCTTTCTAGTGAAGGATGCGAGGGCCTTTAACAGTCCCTGTAAGGCAGCCCAGATGCAGAATGAGGAGCCAAACACCTTCGTCAAGGGGGAGGTTGGAGCCAGACAGAGGACTCTGCACCAGGTGACAAACTGCCTCCCTGGAAAGGGGGCAGACTTTTGGGGCTGGATGCAGCAGGACTAGAAGCATTACAGATTCCCACCGGTGAAGAGACAATATGTCCTCTCCTGACATTCTCTATTAAGTGCCGAGATACCATACAACTGTGACACCTTCTCTCAGCAAAAAAACCACCCTCAGGCTGCTGTCAGGTGACACCCTGGGGCCTGTCCTGCCAGGGAGGAGGTACCTGGTCAGACAGACAGGGCCTGGAGGGAGGCTCTGGTTCCAGAGGTGGGGCGAGCCCTGCTGATGCCCTGGGAGGCATGGCCGGGTCTCCTCCTCACCACCTTGCAGCAGAGCTGGAGAGTTGGTTTCTATGGCAACGAGTGCCAGGCTCTCCTCCTCCTCCTCCTCCTCCCTGCTCCGCCTGGAAGATTAAGGGGGGGAGCGCAGGGACGTACGGCACGTGCCAAGCCAGCATCAGCACCCAGGGCTTCCTGAGCAGGGAAGACGTGGAGGGTGAAACGTGACCACGAAGGTGGTGGAACGGGCAAGGCACAACCTCCTTTCTGCGCCTCCCCACGGGGCGTGTGGCCCCCTCAGGCAAGCAGAGCAGCAAGGCTGGCTTTCCCGACAGCCAAAGGCACCCGGCAGGGTGAACTCGCCACTGGGGATCAGAAGGCACCTCTCCAGGACAGTGCCCCGTCCTGCTAGTGATGCCCTACTGCCTTTCTAGAGCTTGGTCCCCAGCCGCCCAAACGCCGCGAGGCAGGAGTGCAGCACCCCCTGCTCCTCCTCGCTGTCCCCTCAGCTTACCCAGGGGGTTGTAGTCCAGGTTCAGCACACGGAGCTGCGAACTGTGAGCCACTGCAATGGCCAGGCGTCCCCAGCCTTTGCTCGTGACGCCTGGGTTGGCACTCAGCGTTAGCTCCTTGAGGCCTGGAGAAGAGAGAGAAGCCAAACCAGAGCCTTAGGGTCACCCGAGCAGTCCCTGGGGAACTAGTTCAGCTAACCAGAACAGCTTTGAGTTGTCCCCCATGTACTCTGACGGGCTAAAGCATTTGGTTTGCTCTGACAACTGCCGTCACATATTCCACTGAACACTGAAATATTTCCCTGCCTTCAGTAGCCCTTCATTTGCCCGTGCTGTGGCTGCCCCATTTCTCTGCTCCCCCAGCCGGTGTCCTGCTTACCCTAAATAGCAAACACAGCGGAAACACACAAGGGGTGCGCAAGGTGACTAACCAGGAGAAGGAGGTTGCACAAGGTGGCAGGTTGGAGAGAGGATAATGGGGACAGCAGGCTCTGAAGCCTGCACCTGGGAGGGGCGGCACTGCGAGCACACAGAGGAGAAGGTGTTGGGGAGCGCTTTGAGAGTCAGGAGGGGGTGTGTGTGTGGGGTGTGTGTGTTACCTCAGCACATGCCAGCTCTCAGCTTGACTGGCCCACTGGCCTCTGACCACCAAAGATCATCCCCTGCAAAGATCTGAGCCTTGGCACTAAGGCTACGACCATGCAAGCGCACGCTCACCGAGCACACTCGCAAGCAGGGGCGATTCCCAGGCACTGGCAGCAAAGCCAAGTGCTGAGGTGGGGGCAAACCATATATTTATCTACGGTCGTTATCAACATGCAAATGCAAAATAACAAACTCAAAGCCCAAGCTGTCCCCTCCTCCAGTTTCAAATGCTTCTGTCGCGAACCAGAAGCCACCTGTTGGTCCCCGAGCTCCAAACTGCCAGCAGGACAGATCGCTAGCGGAAAGCCCGCGCCTGCCCGAGGGACCTGCTCCTCTACCGCTTGTCTTTTCTGCTTTACTTCAGTTGGGGAAAGAAATTCCTCAAGCCAGGCAAACTACAGGGCCTGCCTCCTCCAGGGCTGAGGGTTTACTGCTGCGTGGATCTGCTCTATGTGAAAGCTCCACCGGTCATTGTGCAGCCCACGGCCGCTGGTGCTTACCGGACTTGGCCCCGTCGGGCGGCAGGAGCCCACAGATAAGGTTGATGCCTTCATCACCCAGCATGCAGTCTCCTAGATCCAGAGCCACCAGCGAGGGGTGGATGGAGAGAGCAGGGTTGAGGAGGGCCAAGCCTGCATCTGTCAGGGGACTCCCATGGAGGCTGTGCAGGTAAAAGGGAAAATTACTACGGAGCCTTCTTCCCGGGGGGCTAACTAACCTGACGGGGAGGGAGAAGCAGACGAAATGAGGAGGATGACAAATCCTAACCCCAGGAAAAAGGGGGAAAAGCCCTGGGAAGCCTCTGCTGTGAGAGTCAGTTGGCCACGACGGTGGCCCTCCTCTCCTGGCCGGGATGAGGGGGGGTGCAGGGGATGCCAGCGGGGCAGGGGCATCCCCCCACTACTGGGGCAACCGGGTCGGAGCCACCGGGGCTGAGAGCCAGGGCCGTGCCCAGCGGCGAGGGGGCAGAGGTGGCTCCCTCCCAGCCGGCCGAAGGGCGAGGGGTCACCCTCTGCAATGCCAAGGGCACTTTCCCTTCGACAAGACTTACAATTCAAGGGCTGACCGGGAGCTGCGAGACCCCGAAAAGACCCGTCCCTGCCCGGGAAGCGGGACCAGGG